GGATATGATGTGTATTTTTAATGGATTATCAGATGAAATTGAGTTAATCATGAACATATAGTTAACATTCTTTGTGGCTAACTGAATTGGGCCTTGTTTTTGTCTCTCTCTTCAAACACAGTGAAGGGAGCGGCACCAGGGTTGAATAGAGTTTGGGCTAGACCTTTGTCTCTTTGGTATCTTCTTGATTGATTACAGCTTGAGGGGGTGAGGTTTGTGTGATTTAGGGCCTTGTCATGTTTAAGCTAAACATGAGTGTGTGTGCAAGACAGGGGAGCGGGTGATTGGTTGGAGTAATAGTTCAGCCGTCCTCAGGGACAAAGGAAGTGGGTGGAGCAATAAAAGAGCGGGAAAACTGAAGAGGAATATATAAGCTGGAGGGAGACCTTAAGGATGTGTGCCCCTCTGCAGACGGGTATCGGCTTTGTTGAAAACTTTAATAAAGTCATTTCTTGATGCAACAAAAACTCTGTAAGACCTTATTTGTAATAAAGTATAGGGGTTATTTTCCACAACACATCAAGTCAGGAAAAAGTAGTAATCTCATTATTGTTTACATTTCAAACCAAACTCCAATTTGTTTACAAGAGACCCAACAACAAAGCATGGCAATTCCCACTCAGCTACCCTGGTCTGTATTAGGCTACCACGGTTCAGCTATCGTGAAAACCACTAAAGTTCTAAAGTGTTCTCTTAGCAATGGCAATCAAAGCTGTGGTAACATTAAACGAGTAAAACATGTGTTGAACGGAACCTTGAACAAGTTCAACAGAACTTTGAACGTGTCACTTAATCTAGTCCTACTCTCAGCTGGTGTGGTGGCTTTAGTTTCTTCATTGAGCGGTAGCAGTGGGCTCTCACAGAGATCTCATTTGTAGCCCTGTTTTTACCTGATACTTTCATAAAAGTACAAACACATGAAGTGAGAGGTATATACACATGATTAAACTTTATTTAAAGCATGATTAACCTGAACAGGACGGAGTCATGACTTAAAACACCAAAGCAAGGCTTCTAGCTCAGGCTAGCTAGCGTTAGCATATTACCTTCAAAGTTGCAAAGAAAATAAGAAACGTAAAATTTGAAGCCTTTATCCAGTTTGCTACGTGGTGTCGTACTGGATGTCCGGACGACCCTCCGTATATCATTAACAGATACTTTAGGCAACTCCAGCAAACATCTTGTAAACTTCATCTCTGCCATCATAACGGTCTACTGTCACTGTCTAATGTTTTTTCTGGGTAACCGGAAATGCCCAAGCATCCACACGCCAATGCGGAAGTGATGCGTGCATAGAGCCCATTCAATGGGTGTTGCGTGTTCATAAATGCATCAGTTATTCTGTGTGTCAGAATTGGAAATCGGATTAGATAGTCAGAGTGAATTTACGAACACACCCTTAGACTTGTTTTCAATGAGAATTACAGATCTATAACTCACATTTCTATGTGAATTTGGTCATCCCTAAAGGTACATATTGCAGCTTTAATAATAAACAATTACAAAAATACCTACATAAATTGAAATAATTGGAGGTACAACATTAATATATTTTTTGTGTGTGACAGAAACCACTTTTCCCCTTCACACTGGAACTGAACGCAGTATGCTATTTATTATATGGCCCTATTCTCATTTTAGTGTAATGAATTTGACCGATATTGACTCTATACGAACTTTATTGCCATTTAATGCTTGTTGTAAAAATAGAAATGGTTCTCTGTGGCCATCTTTCAGCCTCTCCATCCCTTATGGTAGCCGGTGGTCATCTGCCGCTCGGACATGCCATCATTTCACAACGTTTTCACCCTGAAAAAACGGATAACCAACGATACAATATATCCTCAAACGTTGATTAGACCAGATTATGTAGCCTATTTAAAAGAGCTCAGAAAGTTATAGGGAAGGGAGGATAGGTGATCATAGATAATAGTGAACATGACGCAGAATTATTTATAGGATATTTATTTTCCTATATTATCAGTGAGCAGCTGTCCAAACATGTCTGGAGGTTGAGAAACACGGCTCTACAGTAGCCTATTCTTAGTCGATTGTTTTGGGAAACTGTGATTAACGTAGTTCAGTAGCAATGTCCTCCTATTTCCATCTAAACTTTCAGAAAAGTCGCACCCTAATGAAAGCCGTGTTCTCTAACTGCTTTGACATGCCACCTGCATAGACCGTCTTCAAACACACACCCATGTGAAATATGAGTCTTAGACAGTTTATTAGAAAGATGTAGACAATTTTTTTTTTTTTATCACTGCAATTCAACATCAATTTAAGTTCTTCAGCCTGTGATAACCTGACATGTTGACATACACACCAATAACTAATCTTATATTTGTCTCAGCTGACTTCAATTTTCTTGACAGTGCAAATATAATTTGGTCATTATACATGTTTACCATCTCATATCAACAACCCCCTCACCACACGAGGCCCAGGAGTATTAACTGCCATAACTCTAAACAGGTGGAATATTCTTGAGAGTAAAAGACAAATCCAGATGTTTTCAGAGGCCTAAACAGATAGGAATGGGTCAATTCTATTCCTGTGTCGCCTCATGTGTAAATGTGTGATGAATAACCCAACTGATGTTAGATCGCAAATAGTAATATAGGATTAGTAAAATTAAGAAATTGATCGTGGGGAGAAACATGTCAAAACAGATGCCTGTAAGAATTCCAGAACATTCAAAATCTTTTCAACATAACATTGATAAACTGTTTGTGATTTAACAGGTGAGGAAGAAAGGGAAACGTGGAACTGTTTCTCTGATCACTATCTATATGCCACAGGGGAGGCTCACAAGAGGGAACCAAACAGAAAATGTAAACTGTTGAGGTATGTAGCTATAGTCTTCAAAATCAAGTTTTTTTTTCACTGCCTTCAATTTCAAGATAGGAAGGAGGAATCATAAACTTTCTTCCATCCCTCTTTCCAGGATTGAGGTTTTTCATTCCAAATCCGGCATTTCTGAAAAAAAGTCATATTTTATACAGGTAACGAGCTGAGATTAGGAGCACACTCTTAAAGGGAGTGCTCCTAATCTCAGTTTGTTACCTGTATAAAAGACACCTGTCCACAGAAGCAATCAATCAATCAGATTCCAAACTCTCCACCATGGCCAAGACCAAAGAGCTCTCCAAGGATGTCAGGGACAAAGAACTGTCAATCTCCCTTGGCCTGGGGCTCCATGCAAGATCTCACCTCATGGAGTTGCAATGATCATGAGAACGGTGAGGAATCTGCCCAGAACTACACGGGAGGATCTTGTCAATGATCTCAAGGCAGCTGGGACCATAGTCACCAAGAAAACAATTGTTAACACACTACGCCGTGAAGGACTGAAATCCTGCAGCGCTTGCAAGGTCCCCCTGCTCAAGAAAGCACATATACAGTCCCGTCTGAAGTTTGCCAATGAACATCTGAATGATTCAGAGGAGAACTGGGTGAAAGTGTTGTGGTCAGATGAGACCAAAATCGAGCTCTTTGGCATCAACTCAACTCGCCGTGTTTGGAGGAGGAGGAGGAATGCTGCCTATGACCCCAAGAACACCATCCCCACCGTCAAACATGGAGGTGGAAACATTATGCTTTGGGGGTGTTTTTCTGCTAAGGGGACAGGACAACTTCACCGCATCAAAGGGACGATGGACGGGGCCATGTACCGTCAAATTTTCCCTCAGCCAGGGCATTGAAAATGGGTTGTCGATGGGTATTCCAGCATGACAATGACCCAAAACACACGGCCAAGGCAACAAATGAGTGGCTCAAGAAGAAGCACATTAAGGTCCTGGAGTGGCCTAGCCAGTCTCCAGACCTTAATCCCATTGAAAATCTGTGGAGGGAGCTGAAGGTTCGAGTTGCCAAACGTCAGCCTCAAAACCTTAATGAGTTGGAGAAGATCTGCAAAGAGGAGTGGAACAAAATCCCTCCTGAGATGTGTGCAAACCTGGTGGCCAACTACAAGAAACGTCTGACCTCTGTGATTGCCAACAAGGGTTTTGCCACCAAGTACTAAGTCATGTTTTGCAGAGGGGTCAAATACTTATTTCCCTCATTAAAATGCAAATCAATTTATAACATTTCTGACATGCGTTTTTCTGGATTTTGTTGTTGTTATTCTGTCTCTCACTGTTCAAATAAACCTACCATAAAAATTATAGACTGATCATGTCTTTGTCAGTGGGCAAACGTACAAAATCAGCAGGGGATCAAATACCGTATTTTCCGCACTATAAGGCGCACCGGAGTATAAGCCGCAGCAGCTAAATTGAATGATGTGTACATATTTAAGCCGCAGGTGTTTTAATGTTTAATTACCATATGTAAGGGTTCGTGCACAGAGGGGATTGTCGGGAAAGAGATGGCTGCTTGAGGAGGCTCCCATTTATTAACATTTCAACAAGCAAGTTGCATATTTGCATAACGTATTCAAGTGTTACCATTTAGTGCAATAGTAGCTACAGAACATATACTGTGCTGTGTAAACTGTACTGTATCACATAGCGTTTCAGACACACAAACTTTTCAACACTGCTCTCGTTCTGTCTCTCGTTCTGTCTCTCGTACCACTCTCGGTTCCACTTTTACTTTTGCGCGCTACCTGTCTCACTCTTTTCCGGCCTCCAGCTTTTCCTGCTGGAGCCCGCCGCTTAAAGGTGGGGGGCGCGGACCGGTCATAGAGCCCATAGAGTTAAAGTTGGTGGACTGTAACCTGTAAAATCCATAGATTTAGGAGGTCTTCTAGTGGCCGTTAGCTGTAAAAATCCATAGATTAGCCGCACCATTATATAAGCCGCAGGGTCGAAAAATGGGAAAAAAGGCGCGGCTTATAGTCCGAAAATTACGGTACTTTTTTCCCTCACTGTATATGTATGTGTGTATGTATATATATATATATATATATATATATATATATATATATATATATATATATACATACACAGCTCTGGAAAAAAGTATATATATATATATATATATATATATATATAGTGTATTTTACGTTTGAGACACTTAATGTCAGGGATGCATGGCAAATGTGAAAACATTAAACATCTTTTTTGATATTGTCAATAAATGATATATGCATGCCAGTTGAAGTGTGATTTTGAACTTATTTTATCAGTCAGTGAGTTCAATGCGTCTGTTAAGTTCAAAAAGTTATTACACCACCTATCGTGTAATAAAATAGTTTCCATTAAAGAACTTTGAACCAAACACATCAACAATGACTGACGGCCTGAATGGCCAGAGGTGATTATAGGTTTGAATGTACTGTATTTATGAAGAAAAACAAATGTTTTACAGTACAGTACAGTTCAAAACAATATGACGTGTATGACAAGATGTGAAATACAAAAGTTCTGCAAGCTATACAGGGCAATACAATATTTTGGAAGACAATGCCCTCATGTCTCCAAGACAACACTTTCACTTCAGAACAAGACGTGTCTTCTGGTCTCCAAACAACAACCTGTATACAAAAATAGGAATTCAATGATAGTAAACAATACATGAATTGCAATGCGAAGAAGCAATACTCTCCTACTGACTGTATAGAGTATGATGTATGACAGGCTGAAACTGAAAATGCAGTGCCATTCTATGGCCTCTTTAAGGCCACAATCTATGGCATAAGGGTAATACAATCTATAAATAGGTGAGTAATGAAGGCTGGGTGTGCTGTATCCTACCTGATCAAGCTGCCAGTGATAAGGGCCCCAGCAACCGGTCCCACCCAGTAGATCCAGTGGTACTCCCAGTAGTTAGCCACCACTGCAGGGCCAAACGCCCGCGCTGGGTTCATACACCCTCCAGATACTGACCCGCTAAAAGACCAATGGGACAAACAAATCTGGTTTTATATTGATCGAACAATGCATTACATCAGATCAATACATGTAGTTAGTAGAATTAATCATTATCAGGCAGGCAGTGATGTCATCAGGCAGGCAGTGATGTCAATGGCAATGTCCTCTTTATTCCTGCTGTGCCATTTCTTGTTATTGTCGATAACGGCACAGCAGGAATAGTATTGAACCTGTTCTGCCGTGAACCCTTGTCATTTCAATACATCATCTACATCTACCATGACAGGTCTCCATAGATTTGCTCAGCCCTTACCCAGCCAGTATGTTAGCAGTCACAGTGAGCCCGATGCAAAGTGGGGCCAGTGGGGTACGGGTCCTGCCGTTGACGGCCCCCATACAGACTACCAGGGACAAGAAGAGGGTCATGACCATCTCTGCTACAGTGGCACTGCCGATGGCGCCGGTGGTTTTAACCACGTTGAATGCTCCCCCTGCTGCACTGTCATAGCTGATGATGGAGGAGACTGCCTGTGGAATATCACAACATCTGTACGATTAGATTGGGATTAGATTGGGGTTTTAATGATTGGATGGGATTATAGGGAAGACTGGGGCTGGTTCTCATCATGGGTTGGTTGGATAGGGGAGACTGGGGATGGTTCTCTCATCATGGGTTAGTTGAATAGGGGAGACTGGGGCTGGTTCCCTCATCATGGGTTGGTTGAAGTGGGGAGACTGGGGCTGGTTCTCATCATGGGTTGGTTGAAGTGGGGAGACTGGGGCTGGTTCCCTCATCATGGGTTGGTTGAAGTGGGGAGACTGGGGCTGGTTCCCTCATCATGGGTTGGTTGAAGTGGGGAGACTGGGGCTGGTTCTCATCATGGGTTGGTTGAAGTGGGGAGACTGGGGCTGGTTCTCATAATGGGTTGGTTGAATAGGGGATACTGGGGCTGGTTCTCATCATGGGTTGGTTGAATAGGGGCGACTGGAGCTGGTTCTCATCATGGGTTGGTTGAATAGGGGAGACTGGGGCTGGTTCTCTCATCATGGGTTGGTTGAATAGGGGAGACTGGGGCTGGTTCTCTCATCATGGGTTGGTTGAATAGGGGAGACTGGGGCTGGTTCTCTCATCATGGGTTGGTTGAAGTGGGGAGATTGTGGCTGGTTCTCATCATGGGTTGGTTGAATAGGGGATACTAGGGCTGGTTCTCATCATGGGTTGGTTGAATAGGGGAGACTGGGGCTGGTCCTCTCATCATGGGTTGGTTGTCACATTACTTTAGGTTATAAACGCGTCATGTTTCAGGGTTTTACAGTGTATATGAGGTGAAAGTAAAACATACGTCTTGGTATTTTAATTGTTTGAATTATAGGAGTAGGCTATCCATGAACAATTAAGAGGAAAAGGAGAGCTATAGCCTATTTCAAACTGATTTCTAAATTGTTGCAAGGACAAGACATGGAAATTAGGATCATAGACAGGGGCACAACTTTGGTTTTAGAAGTGGGGGGGACATAACCTGGCCGGGGGTCTGGGGAGGACTTTTTTGGCCATCTAATGCTCATTTCCTGCATTTCTACACAATCCAATATGTCGTGTCTATTTAGAACAACAAAAAGTAAGCAAAAATGCCCACAGTCATCAAGCTAGGTAAGAGATCATTATTACTTTTGTTTTAAGTGGTTGATTGTCTTTATTAAGACATCCTCTGCTGAGGAGTATTTCTGTCTGTAATAAAGCCCTTTTGTGGGGAAAAACTCATTCTGATTGGCTGGGCCTGGGTCCCCAGTGGGTGGGCCAGGCTCCAAAGTGGGTGGGCCTATGCCCTCCTAGGCCCACCCATGGCTGCGCCCCTGCCCAGTCATGTGAAATCCATAGATTAGGGCCTAATGAATTTATTTCAATTAATTTATTTATTTATTCATGAACTGTAACTCAGTCAAATCTATGAAATTGTAGCATGTTGTGTTTATAGTTTTGTTCAGCTCTTTTTACTTGCACACAATATAGCTGGATCACCCCGTCCTGTATCTAGGGGTCCACCGCCCTGCAGCGCCCCAACCAAACACACCCCACACAGCTTTAGGATCTTAGTGAAACATTCATTATTGGTTTCGGGTGTGTTAGGCCAAGGCCAGAGTGACAACGCACAGGACGACAGACCCCCAGGGCCAGGACTGAGCAGCCCAGCAGCTAGGGATTGCCTAAATAGATATCTCCTCTGACGTAGACATGTTTCCAAAACAGACTCCTTTTATCGTACTGTATTCCATTTACTCTTGTAATAAATCAAATCTAGTGATACATCATTTGACATTTGTGCCATCCATTGTGGGAGGATAACCAACCTTCCAATTAATGGCAATGCATTTCTTAGCCGCTATAAATGCTTGGTTACACAGCTTCTTCTGATAACAGTCTCTAGTATCAACATTTTCAAGCAAACATAAACAGGGAGAAGGGAGAATCTGTAGACATGCTGAGATAAAAGAGAATACTCTTTGCCAGAATTCAGCAAGCCTTCACAAGACCATAACATATGCAAATATGTCCCATTTTGTGTTTTACACCTCCAGCAGAGGAATTACATTTCTGTGTGCATGTAATTCAGTTTCACTGGCATATAGTATGTTCTATGCATGGTCTTAAACTGCAGTAATGTATGTCTGAGATCATATGAACATGACAGGGCATTCAAACATATCTGTATCCATTCATCATCATCAATTACTCATTCTACCAGGTCTTTCTCACATTTTTGTTTGACATGTTTTGTGTCATACAGTTTGGAAATCAACTTTGGAAGTTTGTCAGACTGCCTTAAAATAGTTTCAATCTTTGAAGAATCTGGCTTGTCCAGTATTTGCTGCACAGAGAGAATAAAGTGTTGCATCTGCAAAAATCCAACACAGACTGGTCTTCCCTGGTTGCCTGACCCTGCTGAGACCCCTGTCACCATCTGATCCTCCTAAGATGAGTCAAGACAAATAATTACATTGGTGTACATTTATACACTATATTATCCAAGAATAGAATCAATGGTTCAATAACTGAAATGACCATTATTCCCAGATCCCAAACTGTAGCTTTAAGCTTAAGCTGCTGTCCTGTAGCTACTGTAGGTCTACCCATCAACTCAAGATGGAACTTTGTATCATTCTCTGATATTGTTAATATACTGCAAAATTCACCTGAGCTCCGTAGACTGGTCTTCCCTGGCTGTCTGACCCTGCCCAGACACCTGTCACCATCTGATCCTGCTAAGACATGAATGAGAATAGTGTTGTGTACTGACTGTGCACCATGACTGTGAAGCATGTAGAGCTGTTTATTACTGTATTTGTGTGAAAAGTAGGGAATTAGCTAGGGAAACTGACAGATCAATTACATTACAGTGGGGGAAAAAAGTATTCAGTCAGCCACCAATTGTGCAAGTTCTCCCACTTACATCACTGCTCTAGAGGAGATCTGTATAATAATAATAATAATAATATGCCATTTAGCAGACGCTTTTATCCAAAGCGACTTACAGTCATGCGTGCATACATTTTTTTTTTGTGTATGGGTGGTCCCGGGGATCGAACCCACTACCTTGGCATAACAAGCGCCGTGCTCTACCAGCTGAGCTACAGAGGACCACATGTATGGAGGAATGGGCCAAAATAGCAACAGTGTGTGAAAACCTTGTGAAGACTTACAGAAAACGTTTGACCTGTGTCATTGCCAACAAAGGGTATATAACAAAGTATTGAGAAACTTTTGCTATTGACCAAATACTTATTTTCCACCATAATTTGCAAATAAATTCATAAAAAATCCTACAATGTGATTTTCTGGACTTTTTTTCTCATTTTGTCTGTCATAGTTGACATGTACCTATGATGAACATTACAGGCCTCTCATCTTTTTAAGTGGGAGAACTTGCACAATTGGTGGCTGACTAAATACTTTTTTTCCCCACTGTACATTGCTATACTGACTAATAAAAACTCACATTGCGCTGAAAAAACGTCAGAATATCGGTATTCAAACGTTTGGCCGCTGGTTTCATTGTTTGATTCAGGTCTAGTGTGATTGAGGCAAAAAGAATAGCTAACGTTAGCCAACTTTGGACAGCTCTCTCTCTCAACTGGCGAGGGCTAGGCAAGTTCATTTACACTACCGGTCAAAGGTTTTAGAACACCTACTCATTCAAGGATTTTTCTTTATTTTTACTATTTTCTACATTGTAGAATAATAGGGAAGACATCAAAACTATGAAATAACACATATGGAATCATGTAGTAACCCAAAAAGTGTTAAACAAATCAAAATATATTTGAGATTTGAGATTCTTCAAATAGCTACCCTTTGCCTTGATGACAGCTTTGCACACTCTTGGCATTCTCTCAACTAGCTTCACCTGGAATACTTTTCCAACAGTCTTGAAGGAGTTCCCACATATGCTGAGCACTTGTTGGCTGCCCTTCCATCACTCTGCGGTACGACTCATCCCAAACCACCTCAATTGGGTTGAGGTCGGGGGATTGTGGAGGCCAGGTCATCTGATGCAGCACTCCATCACTCTCCTTCTTGGTAAAATAGCCCTTACACAGCCTGGAGGTGTGTTGGGTCATTGTCCTGTTGAAAAACAAATGATAGTCCCAATAAACTCAAACCAGATGGGATGGCGTATCGCTGCAGAATGCTGTGGTAGCCATGCTGGTTAAGTGTGCCTTGAATTCTAAATAAATCACAGACAGTGTCACCAGCAATATACCCCCCCACCATAACACCTCCACACTTTACGGTGGGAAATACACATGCGGAGATCATCCGTTCACCCACACCGCGTCTCACAATGGCACGGCGGTTGGAACCAAAAATCTCCAATTTGGACTCCAGACCAAAGGACACATTTCCACTGGTCTAATGTCCATTGCTCGTGTTTCTTGGCCCAAGCAAGTCTCTTCTTCTTATTGGTGTCCTTTAGTAGTGGTTTCTTTGCAGTAATTCAACCATGAAGGCCTGATTCACACAGTCTCCTTTGAACAGTTGATGTTGAGATGAGTCTGTGACTTGAACTCTGTGAAGCATTTATTTGGACTGCAGTTTCTGAGGCTGGTAACTAATGAACTTATCCTCTGCAGCAATGGTAACTCTGGGTCTTCCATTCCTGTGGCGGCCAGTTTCATCATAGCGCTTGATGGTTTTTGCGACTGCACTTGAAGAAACTTTCAAAGTTCTTGAAATGTTCCGTATTGACTGACCTTCATGTCTTAAAGTAGTGATGGACTGTCATTTCTCTTTTCTTATTTGAGCTGTTCTTGCCGTAATATGGACTTGGTCTTTTACAAAATAGGGCTTTCTTCTGTATACCCCCGCTACCTTGTCACAACACAACTGATTGGCTCAAACGCATTAAGAAGGAAATAAATTCCACAAATTAACTTTTAAGATGGCACACCTGTTAATTGAAATGCATTCCAGGTGGCTACCTCATGAAGCTGGTTGAAAGAATGCCAAGAGTGTACAAAGCTGTCATCAAGGCAAAGGGTGGCTATTTGAAGAATCTCAAATATAAAATATATTTTGATTTGTTTAACACTTTTTTAGTTACTACATGATTCCATATGTGTTATTTCAGAGTTTTGATGTCTTCACTATTATTCTACAATGTAGAAAATAGTAAAAAATAAAGAAACACCTTTGAATGAGTAGGTGTTCTAAAACTTTTGACCGGTAGTGTACTTCTGTTGAAATGGGACAAAACAAAGGCTACAAAACATTTCCATACAAACAACAGCTGTTAGATAGTAATAGTAGCCACCTCATATCGTTATCTGCCAGATAGCTAGAGGCTAGAGCTGACCTGGCTGTGTTAAGTTAGCTACTAGCTAGCTAATTCATTCTCCTCAGTCGAGAGGGGATGAAACACGATCTAACATTACATGTCAGTTACACTAGCTAATAGCTCAGCACTGGGAATAACCACTAGTTTAGTTTTTTCCCCTGTTAAGTTAAACAGCAATTACATCAGTCAACTAAAGAGTAGGCAGTTTCTGCTCTGCTTGATTTTACAACTCGGAGAAAGGCAACACACTGATAGCAGCTGTCTCTGTTCAACTCTCCTGTGCTGGTCCAGCCAGCCTTCCAGAAGCTTTGCCTTTCACACAGCCTGTCTGCCCGCTTTGGGGTGTCCGCATGGTCCTAAATCCAACCGACTGAAAAAGTGAAATTTCAGAATGTGGGGGGGACATGACCCCCGGTCCCAAGTGAAGGTTGTGTCCCTGATCATAGGCTATAGCCTTTATGCTATATTGGGAGTGTTTATATAAAAAATTATACTTACAAAGTATAAGCTGTTTAATTTTGTTAGAACAATATTCCATCAAAATCAATAGTGTGATTATTTCTAAGGCTAGCCCACAATACTTTCTTCATTTCCAACAGACAATGTTTGATGGGCAATAACTCCAAAAGAGTGCCCATTTCAACCCCAAGACCTAGCTGACTAATCTCCACTCCATGGTAAAGGAAGTTTCTGATGAACTCCACCTTTCTTTGTTTGCTGAAATCCATACTTTTTCATTAAATGTTAAGGAAATACCACAACTGTTTCCTTGTTGAGATTCAATTGGCACATGCACATTTGCGCTGAGTTGCCATTGTAGAGCAACAGCAATGAGCAAACAGTCGGTGGTTCTATTTGATTAACGTTTTTAGAAAAAGGATGAATTTCAGCAAACAAAGAAACACAACTACCGAGGACAAACATAGGTACAAGGTAAGCATTTCATAATTTACATTTTTTAAAGTATTGACCTTGGGCGAATCGATGTAGTCGGAGCTAGATTCCACAAAGCCTGGTCTCTGCTCCACTCCATTGGTGGAGTTCATCAGAAACTTCCTTCACCATGGAGTGGAGTTTAGTCAGCTACCCAAGACCTTTCTTTCTTCTTTAAAAGAGTATCTTATGATATAGGCCTACCAGTGTTGAGAAATATACACAGTAAAAACTGTGACAACCAGTCCCAGTCTGCTCATAAATGCACTGCTACTCACAAAATGTTTCAGAGCTATCAAGTTATGATATTGCGTCAAACAAACAATACTGCTGGCCTCTGGTTATTTTCCTCCTGTGTTTGGTCAGTACTACTGTTCTCACCTGCAGTGAACCGCACCACATTCAAATGGAATCAGACAGACTATACTTTTGAGCGAACCACAGTGTGTTGTTTGGTTTGTTTGGACACCTGTCCAAACAAACCGAATTTAGGGGGTAATCGCTCCAGAGTAAAACAAAAAAACGCTCAAACAAACTTGATCTGAAAGCCCCCTTACCTTTGCCAAGCCAGCCCCAGTCATCCCCCCCACTATCTGTGAGAGTATATACGGCCCCAGTAGGATGACGTCCAGTCCTCCACTGACGCACACACTCACAGACACAGCTGGGTTGAAGTGGCCACCACTGGATTCAGACAGAATAACATGTTTAATACTTGCTACTGATACTCATGCATTAGGAAAATCACACTGATAGAAGAGATGAACATACGTGTTATAGCTAGAGCCTATATGTTTTTTGGGGTCTGATACTGATTCCGATTTTTTGGCGGGACAAAACGTACTAATACAATATATGTGCCAATTGTTTTACAGCGCGAAAATTAAAAAGTGTAATTTTTCCACAATGAATTATCATAAATTGCCATCCAAAAGAGTAATTGTCCAATAAATATCCTTCAAATGTTGATTTCATACATTGTGATAATAATGACACATCATGAGAATGGCCACAAGTGTTCAGATAAATGAGATTCCCTTTTCTCATCCTAGTTATTGAATATCAGTTATCGGTTGAGTTATCATATAGCAGTAAAAGGGCCAAAATAAGCCGATAATATCGGTGAACCGATATATCGGTCAGGCTCTAGTTATAGTAAATCTCCACTCATGGGAACAAAATTATACTTAAATCATTCATAAAAACATAGTAAAACTTTCTGACCTCAGAGTGCATGTCCTTACCTGATCTCTCCCAGTACAGCGATAACAATCGCCAGCGCCAGTCCATGAGCCAGAGCGGGCTGGATGCTCCCCGGAACACCGGCATTCTCAATAACAGACCCGCATCCCACAAAGATGAAGAGAGTGCATCCCACCATCTCAGCCAAGCACGGCTGGATATACCTCTCAAAGGTGGTGACTATCTTCCTGGAGTTGACTGCCGCTGAACCTAGCCCTGAGTCCCCAGTGTCAGCCACGGTGAAGAGCTCCGTCTTTGACTCTATCACAGACATATTGCTGACTCCTGCTGCTCTCTGTGTCACTTACATCTGCTCTGTCAACTGATCAGCCAGAGAGTGACACATGCACTGATAAGAGTGCAGACAGGACTGTCACATTGGGGGGGGGGGGGTCTCAGGATATGCGTGGGAGTATCGCCACAACGCCACCTCCCCTTGCTATGTTGGCATGTTTTGGAACACATCCCCATATTGCCATAGTATTTCGCTGTAGTGGAAGTGGCTATTGTAGTGCATGAGAGACTGATGATGGAATGCCTTACCAGTCTTACATTTTAACATTTAACATTTTAGTCATTTAGCAGACGCTCTTATCCAGAGCGACTTACAGTTAGTGAGTGCATACATTTTAATACTGGACCCCCGTGGGAAACGAACCCACAACACTGGCGTTGCAAGCGCCATGCTCTACCAACTGAGCTACAGGGGACTACTATACAATGTGTGAACTATGGTAAAAATAAACTGTTAAATGTACATTTTTCAGAGCACCCTAGTCCCCATACTCCATAGTAGTTGCCACACCAGGTTACTGCGTGATCCCAGATGGCAGCGCACCTTTATGGAGATATGGTGTGAATTCGGTAAACTCAGGAAAAGTTGGATATAAACTTTTATTTTCACACATTGTATAGCCCGTACCAACTGGTACATAGGGTTTTGCGGTATCCAGATTTTCACATCATCATACAGTCTTTACTCATCCTGGGATTACTGGTATTATGCACTCACTAATTGTAAATTGCTCTGGATAAGAGCGTCTGCTAAATGACTAAAAGGTAAAAGTAATCTTCTTAATAACTTGCGTCGTCGTCGGGTGAGGTTGTGTCTCTCTCTGGCGGGAGGTAAGCTTGGCTTATATGGCTTATATGCATAGTTTGGGCTTTGTCGAGTAAAGCTTAAACTATGTATTTAGATTGTAGTTAGGTATTGTAGGTAGTTATCGTGGGTTGTTGTATGTAATTATTGTAGGTTAGTATTGTATTCGGCTGAGCCCGGTGAAGCACGAAGCTAGCTAACCCACTACATGGACTAGCTAGCGGGTGGCTACTGGTAACTATTAGCAACTGTGGATAGTTGTTTCACGCCTGAGAGTGCCTGTAATTACGCCAGCTAGCTGCCTACAATAATTACATACAATAATGCCTAACATTCAGCTGTTTTTCTGACCTCATTGTCTGAAGCGTTAATGTTAGGTAGTAAGTGGCTACTGTGCTTGAAATTTAGCTAGCTTGTTGCTACCTGGATAGCTACTAAACAATGGCTGGAATGACCTAGCGAACAGACGCGAACTGGCTGAGTCAATTCAGTGGCTAGCTTTGCACATGGCTAGCTAACAGTAGCTGCTAGGGGTAAGTTATAACCTATAAGTTATAACCTACATTTGTGTTTTGTTTTTACATACTGGTAGCCAGAGTCGTTCAAGGGAATTCGGGACATGGGTGACTAGTTAACGTTAGCTTGGCTCTCTCTGTGTGTTCGTGCCGTGGGAGGAGGGGTTGCTTCGTTGTCTGAAAGCAATGGCTAGCTAGTATGCTAACTATTCTAGCTAACTAACTGGCTGAATAAGTTGACGACAGACTCGCTCAAGCTGTCGGTACTAACCCACAACGTTAGACACGGACACGAATGATCTGATTGGCGTGTTGACACACTGGTGGTTTGTTGTGGCCGAGTATTGGTGCTAAACCGTGTTGTTGGAGTCCGGCATGCTAGTTGGCTGTGGCGTGATATGACTAGGTGCCCTGGACGATTTTCACGGAAGAATACTGTACCAAGTTAGCTAGCTGAATAAACTAAGTTAGTCTATTCCTAGAAAACATTGAACCGCTGTAGTTTACAACAAGTATAGTTTCTGAGGTGGAAGATGGGAGAGTTTTATATTTGGGTGTTTCAGTGAAATGTACCCTTCGTGAGAGAGGCCTGTAATTTTCATCATAGGTACACGTCAACTATGACAGACAAATTAAGAAAGAACAATCCAGAAAATCACATTGTAGGATTTTTAATGAATTTATTAGCAAATTATGTGGAAAATAAGTATTTGGTCACCTACAAACAAGCAAGATTTCTGGCTCTCACAGACCTGTAACTTCTTCTTCAAGAGGCTCCTCTGTCCTCCACTCGTTACCCTGTATTAATGGCACCTGTTGAACTTGTTATCAGTATAAAAGACACCTGTCCACAACCTCAAACAGTCACACTCCAAACTCCACTATGGCCAAGACCAAAGAGCTGTCAAAGGACACCAGAAACAAAATTGTAGACCTGCACCAGGCTGGGAAGACTGAATCTGCAATAGGGTAAGCAGCTTGGTTTGAAGAAATCAACTGTGGGAGCAATTATTAGGAAATGGAAGACCATGCAAGACCACTGATAATCTCCCTTGATCTGGGGCTCCACGCAAGATCTCACCCCGTGGGGTCAAAATGATCACAAGACGGTGAGAAAAATCCCAGAACCACACGGGGGGACCTAGTGAATGACCTGCAGAGAGCTGGGACCAAAGTAACAAAGCCTACCATCAGTAACACACTACGCCGCCAGGGACTCAAATCCTGCTGTGCCAGACGTGTCCCCCTGCTTAAGCCAGTACATGTCCAGGCCCATCTGAAGTTTGCTAGAGTGCATTTGGATGTTCCAGAAGAGGATTGGGAGAATGTCATATGGTCAGATGAAACCAAAATAGAACTTTTTGGTAAAAACTCAACTCGTTGTGTTTGGAGGACAAAGAACACCATACCTACTGTGAAGCATGGGGGTGGAAACATCATGCTTTGGGGCTGTTTTTCTGCAAAGGGACCAGGTCGACTGATCCGTGTAAAGGAAAGAATGAATGGGGCCATGTATCGTGAGATTTTGAGTGAAAACCTCCTTCCATCAGCAAGGGCATTGAAGATGAAACGTGGCTGGGTCTTTCAGCATGACAATGATCCCAAACACACCGCCCGGGCAATGAAGGAGTGGCTTCGTAAGAAGCATTTCAAGGTCCTGGAGTGGCCTAGCCAGTCTCCAGATCTCAACCCCATAGAAAATCTTTGGAGGGAGTTGAAAGTCTGTGTTGCCCAGCGACAGCCCCAAAACATCACTGCTCTAGAGGAGATCTGCATGGAGGAATGGGCCAAAATACCAGCAACAGTGTGTGAAAACCTTGTGAAGACTTACAGAAAACGTTTGACCTGTGTCATTGCCAACAAAGGGTATATAACAAAGTATTGAGAAACTTTTGTTATTGACCAAATACTTATTTTCCACCATAATTTGCAAATAAATTCATTAAAAATCCTACAATGTGATTTTCTGGTTTTTTTTTCCTCATTTTGTCTGTCATAGTTGACGTGTACCTATGATGAAAATTACAGGCCTCTCTCATCTTTTTAAGTGGGAGAACTTGCACAATTGGTGGCTGACTAAATACTTTTTTGCCCCACTGTAAGTGAGGAAGGCCCCGCTCTCTCCTTTCCCAGGTGTTTAGTTCATTTCATTCTGATCTCCTTTGCATTATTGTAGCCATTTTCTGTAGCCTGTCAACTATGCCTCTGTCTATCCCTGTTCTCTCCTCTCCGCACAGGCTATACAAACGCCTCACACCGCGTGGCTGCTGCCTCTCTAACCTGGTGGTCCCTACACGCACCACCCACGTGGAGTTCCAGGTCTCAGGCAGCCTCTGGAACTGCCGTTCTGCTGCCAACAAGGCAGAGTTCATCTCAGCCTATGCTACCCTCCAGTCCCTCGACTTCTTGGCGCTGACGAAACATGGATTACCACTGAAAACACTGCTACTCCTACTGCTCTCTCCTCGTCTGACCATGTGTTCTCGCATACCCCGAGAGCATCTGGTCAGCGGGGTGGTGGCACAGGAATCCTCATCTCTCCCAAGTGGACATTCTCTCTTTTTCCCCTGACCCATCTGTCTATCTCCTCATTTGAATTCCATGCTGTCACAGTCACTAGCCCATTCAAGCTTAACATCCTTGTCATTTATCGCCCTCCAGGTTCCCTTGGAGAGTTCATCAATGAGCTTGACAAGTTCCTTTCCTGAGGATGGCTCACCCCTCACAGTTCTGGGTGACTTCAACCTCCCTACGTCTAACTTTGAATCATTTCTCTCTGCCTCCTTCTTTCCACTCCTCTCCTCTTTTGACCTCACCCTCTCACCGCCCCCCCCCCCCTACTCACAAGGCAGGCAATACGCTTGACCTTATCTTTACTAGATGCTGTTCTTCTACTAATCTCACTGCAACTCCCCTCCATGTCTCCGACCACTACTTTGTATCCTTTTCTCTCTCGCTCTCCTCCAACACTACTCACTCTGCCCCTACTCAGATGGTAATGCGCCGTCGCAACCTTCGCTCTCTCTCTCCCGCTACTCTCTCCTCTTCCATCCTATCATCTCTTCCCTCTGCTCAATCCTTCTCCCTCCAATCTCCTGATTCTACCTCCTCAACCCTCCTCTCCTCCCTTTCTGCATCCTTTGACTCTCTATGTCCCCTATCCTCCCGGCCGGCTCGGTCCTCCCCTCCTGCTCCGTGGCTTGATGACTCCTTGCGAGCTCACAGAACAGGGCTCCGGGCAGCCGAGCGGAAATGGAGGAAAACTAGACTCCCTGCGGACCTGGCATCTTTTCACTCCCTCCTCTCTACATTTTCTTCATCTGTTTCTGCTGCTAAAGCCACTTTCTACCACTCTAAATTCCAAGCATCTGCCTCTAACCCTAGGAAGCTCTTTGCCACGTTCTCCTCCCTGCTGAATCCTCCTCCCCCTCCTCCCTCTCTGTGGATGACTTCGTCAACCATTTTGAAAAGAAGGTTGACGACATCCGATCCTCGTTTGTTAAGTCAAATGACACTGCTGGTCCTGCTCACACTGCCCTACCCTATATTTTGACTTCTTTCTCCCCTCTCTCTCCAGATAAAATCTTGCGACTTGTGAGGGCCGGCCGCCCAACAACCTGCCCGCTTGACCCTATCCCCTCCTCTCTTCTCCAGACCATCTCCGGTGACCTTCTCCCTTACCTCACCTCGCTCATCAACTCATCCTTGACCGCTGGCTATGTCCCTTCCGTCTTCAAGAGAGCGAGAG